TATTGATGACTAATACATATACAATATGATTTTATATTATATTATTATATTATTATATTATTATATTATTATATTATTATATTATTATATTATTATATTATTATATTATTATTGAAGGTTTACCTCCTTAATAATCTTGTCGCTTATAAGGATCGAAGTTATATATATACGAAAAATAAGAAACTCTCGCTTAGCAAGATCTGATTCAAGCGATCTGATTGGTTTGACTTTCTTAGTATTATAGTATAATATAATAATCAAAACAGAAACTATCTTTTTCAATAAAACTATTTTAATTGAATTAAATAAAAAATAACAAAATAGATAATCATATAGATTAAGATAAAGGCTTTTCAATAATCTGTTTTTTATAATAATAATTTCAAATGTAAAGCTTATATAAAGCATTAAAGTTTATATAGTATTGTCAAGACTTTTATAATACTATTATAAATATTATATATATATATTATTTATTACTTTTTCTAATTATATAAGCCTTTTATAATACTAATAGTATTCTATTATAAATAAATTGAGTCTCAATAAGCTTATATTTATAATGTATTACTAATCTAGATTATATAATATTAATTATATAAGTTGTTATTATTATGATCATTATTATTATTAATTTAAAAGAAGATAAACCGACTTCGTCTACAAGCTCCTAATCCAACTACTATTCAAAATTGTATTTTTAAAACACTTTCTTCAAACTTAAATTTATGCTCTATCAATGTGAGGGGTCTGGGGGCTCGCAGGCCCCTGGTATTATTATATTATATCTCTTATCAAATTAATTTATAATGAAATAGAATGTAATAGAATTATATAGAAGATTGTTAATAAAACTGATTAAATTGATGAGTTATATCTTTTTATATAATATAAATGATTCTATAAGATTTTATTCAAATTGATCTTATTTATAAACATAAAAACTATTAGAATTTTATTATAAACTATATCAATCTAAAACATTCTTTAAAGAAAACCTAGAAAAAGCAAGCAAATTTAGATCCATTTAAGTTTTTCCTTATAATTTGACTTCAATTCAATTCTCGTATTATATTTGATTTATTCCTTAAACTAAAGTGACTAAGTCTTTCATCAATACTAGAATACTAATATAATTATTACTATTCTAGAAGCCAACCTTCAAGATTGGAGATAAGATTTCCGGCCTAGGAAGTAGGTATGTCGACCGAACTGAAATTACTACAGCTAGGTCATTACCTATACTGGAAAGAAATTACCTCGTGCATTTCCATTAGGGACGAGTTTGTCCTTTCTACTCTCTAGTTGGCCTAGCCTAACACGAACCACGGACAGGCCGCTTGCTAGTAAATTTACCATTCTTCTCCGCCTCTCATGAAGCAGCAGTAGCGAACCGAGAGGACATGACGTATATTGGGGGAGAGAAAAAAAGATATGTGCAAAGTGATCCCACAAGACAAAACTAACATGCCGAACATAGATTGTCTGTTGAGAGAAAGTGAAATATTCAATAAAAAATAGTATATAATAAATATCGAATGTAATATGGAAAGCATAATGATGTTCTGAATAATAAAACTCGCGAGTAAAACGCGCGTGGGATGATCCGATGTCCTTGAGGTCTTCAAGCAAGAGACAGATGGTAACCTATTATAGATTTAGACAACTAATGAATTCAAGAATTCCCTACATAGGCAAGGAGATTGTTTTCAAATGAGATCACAAGAAAGCGAATTTATTTCCCATTTTGAATAAGTATGAATTAAACCCTCCCTCGGTAGTCCTCAAGTTGAAAATTTTGGCATTGAAACATCACAATGTCAATCTTATCACATTTATGAATTCAATAATTATCTCTAGACCTCTCTCCACAACAGACCTAATGAACCTATCTTTGCTGTTTAGTCGCCCCAGAAACCTAGTTTCCATCAAGGCTAGAAAAGTGTATATAGGTGAGAGATATGGACGTTCTGCCATGGGTTTTCATGAGAGGATATGAATCACTGATAAAGGCACATTTTCATCAGAGCAGTGATTCTACTGTAGTTGATTAGTTGCTTCGAAGTTGCCGAAAGAGGAGGTTGTTACCAAACTCCCCAGCTGTACTCAGTAAACAGATGCAGTCTACATATCGATTATACCCGATACGATTAAGATACAAAGGACCCGAGGTGATCTTGGTCTTGCATTGTGAACCATGGAATCAAACAGAAAGTTATGAATGCCAATGGTACCGGCGTCTAGTTCGTCGTAAGTCGAATGGAGTAACACGAGCTCTCTTATTTATCTGTTTCGAATCTTATATACGACTTGCAGATTCCTGTCCCATTTCTGCTTACCTTTTGATAACTGGTGAATTATTACTCGTAAATCGGGTACCCTACTTTCGGGCCACCCCCCTTTTGGGCCACTTTTGGGCCACTTTTTACACCAAAAATGAAATTTTTAACTTTCTTATTTATAAATAAAATTTATTGAAAATTTATGTATATATATAATTTAGATCATTTTTAGCTTATTTTGTATTTTCAAATTTTTAGGATTTTTCTGTATTGAGATTTAAAGCTTTAAAATATTGATTTTTAAATTTGTATAAGAATCACGTATAAATTTGAAACTTTTATAAAATCTTTAATAACTTTTTAATTAAAATTGCTAAAATAAACTATAAAGTTTTATTACAAGTTTATAGTATATTTATCTTGAAAAATTAAGAAAAAAAAAAGAAAACTTTTTATAAATAGATATTTAAAAAAATATCTTTAAAATTATAGGGATTATTTATACTATTTTAAACTTATTATATATTATATCTTTATATTCATTAATTTTTTAGAGTTTTTTTTTTAATTTCTATATAGATTTAAGTTCAAAACTTTTAAAAAGATATATAATTTTCTTTTAATAATAATTGTTACTAAAAAGTTATCAAAGATTTTATAAAAGTTTTAAATTTATATGATTCCTATATAAATTAAAAAATCGATATTTTGAAGTTTTAAATCTCAATATAAAAAAATCCTAAAAATCCTAAGATTTCAGAATAGATTCAAAACGATTTGAATTATATATATACAAATTTTCAAAAAATTCTATTTATAAATAAGAAAGTTAAAAATTTCATTTTTTGAGATTTTTGATAATAAAGAGTGGCTCAAAACAGAAGTGGCTCGAAAGTAGAATACTCAATTTAGTATTAACAATGCGAGATTAAATATAATACTAAGGCCTATTTAAACGATGTTACTAATATACTAAAAATAGAATTCCGTTTGATATAAAAAAAATTCTATAATTTGTATAGAGTGCTTATAAAAATGTTGAAGAAAATGTTTATATAATATAACTCTCATGTAATTCTATATTATTTAAAATTAATATATAACTTTAAATCAATTTAAAATGAAAATTAAATCTACTCTATTATTGATTAATTTTTTTAGAATTTGATTAATATAGATCTCAAGATTTTCTAATAAAAATTGAATTTAATATTAAACATAAGAATATCAAAATTATACAGAAATGAGAATATAATAAGATAAGCAGTTTTAATTATGAAAGTAATTCAAATTTTAATAAATTCAGTAACGATTTTAATTTCTAATTGAATTTTCTAAAACTTATATCAATCGATTCCTGAAATTTTAATTAATAATAATATCATTCTTTTCTGAATTTTATATATTTACTTAAAGTTATATATTACTTTGAAAATTAAATAATTAATAAATTGAATAATTGCTTAATTTAGAACAATACTATTAATCGAAATTAATTAAATTAAAACCCTCAATATTGAAAATAAAAAAATAAAATTATATTTACTTAATTAATAAAATAATTAAAAAAAATTTAATCTTCTCCTCTTAATTTTCTCAATTACTTTAACTTTAATAATTAATTTCATTAAAATTATTAGAATTAGAACTTTAAAAATAAAATCAATACAACTTACTTAATTAAAGATATAACTTTATAACTTAAAATACTACTTTTTTATAAAAATTTAAAAATTTAATGAATTTAGAAGGCTTAGATTAATAAGTTTTTATTAAAAACTATATTACAAAGTATTAAATATACTTTTAGCTCAGGTAGAATTCTATTTTTAGTGTATTAATAATATCGTTCAAATAGGCCTCGGTATGTGAGCACAGACCAAGCGCTAAAGAACTGCCACTTCATTCCGGCTTCTTCAATCACGCTTTTACCTCATCAACCCATAAGATATAGAAATTCGTCCCTTGTTTGGTCAAACGCTGATCAGATCAAAGATATCCTGCCTGGTAGAAGTGTGAATTCAAGCACGAATTGACTTGCGGTCACGACACCCTTGGACTAGAATCCGAAATCCGGGATCTCAAGGCTGGGAAGTGTCAGATTCTTCAAAAACTCATCCGGGTCAGCCAACGTTGTCTGCAACGGCAGTGCTCTGCCTTACCTTACTCTATTGTGTCAATATCGGCCCAAATCATAGCGAATTCTAGTCATGGCTCTGCCATTAGTTCTGCAGAGGTTATTTGATTGGGAAAGCTGCTTAATGAACTCATTCGTGCAGGGACAATGAATCAGGAGGATTCGAATACGTCGTTTGGTATACAACTACAGTATATACACGTTTTGTGTGGCCTCGGAAGCGTCCCGAGCTCGGATATCGCAAACGCGCAAGTTCTACGCCGCTGACTACAAACGGTGCATACACGTGGGAGAGATCAGTTGATTGCCAGACTAACGAGATCTTTGCCTCGTAATTGTTGAGTAATTTAGTCCTGGCTCTGGTAATTATTTTTTGAGAAACGAGATGCATGCTCGTAAGATCTTTTTGGTAGACTCTCGCGGCGTGAAGCTCGTACTTGTTACACCGGTTTCACTGAGATAGCCCTCACTGTGATCCATGAAGACCAACAACTCGCCCACGTTCGTGAGAGACAGTAATAAGTTTTATCAGAATAAAATCTCTTTACAACTCTTATACACGACCTGGCTTAATATCCCATATGCTTTTCAGCAAGCCAAAGATCACAGCCCTTGGATTCTCTCTCCTCTCATTCAGCCTGGCTCAACTTTCGGATCTTTCAATCTTTCCTCCAGGTGGACCGGGAACGATTCTGGTCACCTTGAATGGTCATAGCGTTTCCACCGGTTGCCTTAATGGCCAAGATCTATGGACTGTGAAAGACGCCGGTGCTAGCTTTGAAGGTAATGGTTAAGGTGGACTTGGATCGGATCTAGGATACATCCTCCTCGATTCTAGCTCCAGCATAGTCACAACTACTGGTACTTGGAGCACTGCGTGGGTCGGAACACATATTGATGAAGGCGTAAGTAACATATGTCTACAATCATAGCATTGCATTATGGTACTAAAAGATTCTCCCTTTGTAAAGAGATGCTGCTTGGCTCCAAGCACAAATCGGAACAACTGGAGCCGCGTCATGGGGAGGAACTTTATGGTACGCTGATGCACAACCCGATGATATAACCAATGTTACACTCAATGGCCATGCCATGACCGATTCTGTCCAGGTTACATTGACCTTCAATTCTACTTTCGTTTCCTCTTAGGGCTCGAAGAGGATGGTTGTTTTGCGGTGCATGGGCAGTTAAACGAAGAGGGTGTAGAAAATATTAGGGTTTACTTGGAAACTCTCAAACATTGATGTACTCTCATTTATAGGATGAATCCTTGTGTCAAGTAGCTTTATGAAGAGGACCCAGATTTCCTTCCTTATTTCTCTTATTTACAAATACAGGTGATGTGCATTTTAATCAATGGACTGCATCTTTGCTTCTGAAAGTACAGTAAACAGATAATGTTGGATTATGTATTGAGGGTTAGTAGTCTTCACGAATCACAATCGCAATTCCTCAAATGCCGGGTCTCTCCCGACTTCCTAGGTTGGTCTGGCTAGTTACCTACCTTCAGGTGTTCCAAATGAATCGATCATACTTTGTGGAAACCAATCTCTCGCTGAGAATGTCAAGAGTAGTAAATTCATACACTCAATTTCTTAACTAGCTTCCAAAACATGAATTTATGGTCTTATAATCTTTCTGTCGAAAACAATCAAAAATAAAATTCTAATTTTATTAATATAGCTTCAAAATAAAAAAAATCTTTATTAATTAAAAGATGTTAATCAATTTAATCATTCTTTAAAAATTAAAGTGATTTGAAATTATATTAAATGAATTAATAAATAATTTAATATATTAAAAACTTTTATAATCAACTTTCAAATAAATCTTTTAGTTTTCAGATTTTTATTCTCAAATTTCTATTTCAATTAATATAATCTAGAATCAAATGTAAATTAAATAAGTAAGAATATTAATCATCTTCTATTATATAATATTATTCTTATTAAATTTGAAGTTTAATTAATAAAGTTATTATGAATTGAAATATTGAAATATAATATTTAAATGTTTATGATGAGGTATAGAAAATTTATGTTTTGGAAGCTAGTTAGGAAATTGAGTGTAAAATGAACAAGGTAATTATTTCTTTTCTAGATTTCAAAAAGCTACAGAAAGACCAGGTGGAATCTTTCTTTTTTTTCATTACTTAAAGAAATTAATAGGGACATCTTCTTTACAACGACAGAAACCAAACTATCGATTTAATCTCTTGATTAATGATTTGGTAGTACTTTCAAAAACGATCAATCTTCAATTGAAGTTTCGGTGCAGTTTGAAGCTTATTGATTGAATATCACAACATTCGTCATCACTATCGCATATGTAAAAATGCCAAATACAATGCGGGCCAATGTATGAGATTCAGGTCCTCATTATTTGAGTGAAGTCCAATATTTTGAATTCATTCAAGATATAAAACTATTAGTATGGATTAACTTCCTACCAAGTTTGTAGTATGTGACGCTCGAATTTTTGATATTTATAGGGTATTCTATTGGCTAGATATACACATGCTAGGTAGTACCTAGTATACCTACCTGTTAATGAAATTGAGGCGTGTATGCGGCTGGGTTGATGTGGCTAGACAAGTAAGTCGAGTACTCTACTTTCTAGCCACTCCTCTTTTGAGCCACTCATTTATATCAAAAATTGCTTTTTTAGCTTATTAATAACTTTTTTATTTATAACTAGAATTCATTGAAAATTTATATATGTATATATATATATATATATATATATAGTTCAGATCATTTTAAACTTTTTCTGAATATTTTAGATTTTAATGATTTTCTAAATGAAGATTTAAAGCTTTAAAATATCGATTTTTTAATTTATATAGGAATTATATACAGATTTTACTTTTTTAAAAAAATCTTTGATAACTTTTTGATCATATTCAATAGAAAGAAATTGATTACTTTTTTAAAGGTTTTGAGCTTAAATCTATATAAAAAAAATTTAAAAAAAAATTAATAATTATAAAGATATAATTTAAGTAAGGAAAAATAATTTCTATAATTTTGAAAATACTCTTATAAATACTTATTTATTAAAAGATTTCTATTTTTCTTTCAATGTTTTATATTATAAATAATATAATTTTTAATAATTTTTATCAAAAAGTTATTAAAATTTCTAAAAAAAGTAAAATTTATATATAATTCTCATAAAGATTAAAAAATCAATATTTAAAGCTTTAAATCTTTATTCAAGAAAAATCAAAAGAATCTGAAATATTTAGTATAAACTTAAAATAATCTGAATTATATACATATAAATTTTTTAATAAATTTTATTCATACATAAAAAAGTTTTTTTATATTAATTTTAATGGTGAAAGATGGCCCAAAACAGGGGTGGTCAGAAAGTCGAGTACCCGACTTAATGTCTACTAGTCACGTTATCTCACTTTTCCTTTCTTTCAACCTCACATCGAATTATCGAATCAAGTGATCAGACTAGTAATTGTTCATATTTCTCCATCAACGTCTTCAAGATCTCGACGGCCGAGTGAGTTAACAAATTTGTAGCATTTGAATGGTATGCCTTCTTATTCATCTTCCGATAACGCTGACCGACCACACAAGAAATACCAACCCAGTGGGATGTTTGAATGACAATCCACTTGGCATAGTCATGAAACTTCTGAATTCTATGAGTGTTGTGATAATTCTGTCGAGAATATGTCGAATGTTCCTTTCGCTGAGGTAGTCTAACCATCGGCCCTAATCGCGTGAGGATCGGTGGTCGAGCTAACATTTTCATCATGTTCTCAATGTTTGTTCCTTCCATTTTCGATTGAGGGAAGTATCCATCAAGGTCAAGCTAATGAGTCAGTCTGGGTATATAATCCCTCTCATTCCCACACCCTTCTTTGAAGAAAATTGGCCACAACAACAGCAGCAGCAGTAGCAGCAACAACAACAACAAACCCCCGCAGCCGCCCCAGCCGCTACCTCTCCTCTCCTCTCCTCTCCTCTCCTCTCCTCTCCTCTCCTCTCCTCTCCTCTCCTCTCCTCTCCTCTCCTCTCCTCTCCTCTCCTCTCCTCTTTCCCCCCCCCTTCTTCTCTTCGACCTCATGGCCAAAAACCGTCGTCGCGCCTCCGGGCACCCTCGTTCCCCTTCGGGGGCTTATTCAGGTGGTTTGGTTTCTTCCACCATTTCTTTTCAAGTCCCAGGGGGTGGTGTCCCCTGGGCATTCATAGCTTTTCTTTTGGCTTCGGCCTTTTTGTTTGCCCTCGGGGTTTCTCTGGTCGTTCTGTCGAGTCGGATGGAGGTGGTGTTTAACACCCACCTTCTAAACAACTGGGAGGAGATGGACTGTGGGGTCGGGGGGGTGACGGTTGTCAGGGCTCGGAAGCCCTCAGGTCTTCTCCTCCGGGAGTTGACCTGGGTGTGAGTTCTCCTTTTCTTAGATTTTTTAATAGCACAGTTTAATTCTTGATCATTGCTCATCCTTTACCCACCTTTCATTTGTCTCCTGTTGCTGTCGCTGCATGTTATCATCCTCACACCTTGCTGCTATTGTTCGCTATTCTATCTATCACATCCGGTGCTATCACTATCGTTCCATTCTATCACTCAATTTCATGTTTTCAACGTCCACGGGTCTTCTTGTTGCTCTCATTCCTTGTTGTTGTTTCATCTATTCATTCCACCACATTGTCTCTGTTCATGCTACGTCAGACTATTTGGCTATCGTCAACAATCAGTTGCTGTTGATCAACCAAATGTTGTCATACATTCACAAGGCCTCATACATTCAAGATCTCTTAGGTTTTTAAAGGACCAGAGACATTCAAGGGCCGTCAGACTTTCAAAGTCTCTTGTAATCTCAAAATGCTTGGGACATTTACACATTCACAATAATTCAAACCTTTTCAACAATTCAAAGCATTTGAAACAGTCACACATTCACAATCATTCAAAAGCATTCAGCATTTCAAATCCTTTCAACAATTCAAAGCATTTTGGACATTGCCACAATCACAAGTACCCAGAGGTTGTCAGACATTCACAGCCCCAGATGTTACCAAAGTGCTGGAGACAATAGATCCATCACTGTCGCTTCTTCCTTCACCATACCTTCCTATTACTGTCAGTCTACATATGTGCTAGACCCACTATGTGGCCATTTTGTCCTGTTTGCTCACACTTGAACTGAGCTAGTCCTAATATGGACGAGTTTGTCCTGTTTGCTCAGACTTGAATCGGGCTCGCATGGACCATGCTATTTTCCTATATAAACCTCTTCCCCCTCCCCTCAGCTTCTCTTCCTGTTCTTTCATGGACGCTGACCTATCCCGACTAGGGCACCGGCCTTCGGCATCTCGATCCTCCTCGCCTACGTTTTTCTCGCCGGTTCGTTCCTTCTCCGATACACCAGCTTAAGTCAATGGATCTCCGGCGCTCTCGGTCTTTTATTTGTTGCTGGGTTCTCAGTACTCACCGCTTTCCGACAACTTCTGACTTTAATAATTGTAGTTTTCGGCATCGCTGTTTGCGTTGTCTGGCAAGTTGTTTGGTTTGATTCTAGACATTTTTCGAGAGTTGTAACGTTCGCCATAAGCCAAATTCGATTGTGGACGTTGCTCACGCTTAGTCTCGCTGCTAGCGTAATAACCGCGCTATTATACGCCGGTTACTTCTACGTTGTGTACAGTTTGCGCAGAATTTACGATGTCGCAGCTCCTTCATGTACCAAAGATCGGAATTTGTACACCCCGCGATTAATAGCCGCGCTCATTTTCTTATCTGTCACGACATATTGGATCACTCATGTTATATCGTGTTTCACTCAAGTCGTCGGGGCCCTTTTTACGAAGAATCACGTACTCTCGAATGTTCAAAACGACTCCGGACATTCAACCATTCGAAGAACGGCAGTTCGAACAACACTGAGACAAATTTACAGCAGCTTGTGCTTTGGTGCGGGACTTGTTTCTTTTTCGGTATTTTTAAAAGACCTTGGAATGGCTCTAGGGCAAAATTTGTCGCTCACGCCAGATTCGAATTTTCATTCTACAACTGGAGCCCTCTTATTAACTCTTGTGGTGTATCTTGCGCCATTTCACGCCGCTCTTGATTCCAAAAACTCGGATTGGACTTTTCCTTTGATGGCCCTTGATTCCAGTACATACTGGCAAGCTAATAAATCCGGTGTTGCATTGATGTCAGCAGCTGGTTTGGACATTCTCAAAGACTCGGGGTTGTACCAAATGATCTCATACTTCCCCGTCATGATTGGTATGATCAGCGCTCTTTCAACGTTTCTCTTAATCACCCTTATGCCTGGCCCTGTTGAGGAAACCAAAGATGTTTCAATAGCCGAAATCCTGGTAGCTTTCGCTTTCTTTGGAGGCGTGCAAATTGCCAGAGCTGCGTTTGCTCCATTCAAGGGAGCTATGTGTACCGTTTTCGTCATGATGGCAAGAGATCCGGCTGCTTTCCAGGAACATTATGGACAGATTTGGACTCGCTTGAAGGAGCTTCACCCAGGTGTTGCTGAGGCGTTGTTGAAATGAAAAAATGGAGATATGATTGTCGAGGTTCGAATGGGACTTTGATTTACTGGATGGGGGAGGAGACTTATGTTGTGGGTGGTCTGAGATTGAGGATTTGATTGTTGAGGTTGAAGGGGGACAATGAAATGCTAGATGGAAGTAGTTACTTATGTTACGGTTGCTTAATCAGAGGGAAATGGGTGGTTAGTCGCTTGGGACTGAAATGAACATTAGCTTGACGAGAACGATGGACTGGGATTTAGATTGGGATTCGGACTAGTTTTGATACTGGGGTTTGATGATGAGCTATTGCCATGAATGAGAATATACTTTTTGCTCTCGGTACTCAGATCTCCTGCAAGTGACTATGAATAGGTTCTTAAATTCTACCTTTTTTTAATATTCCGATTTGAACCGGTCTAACGTTGAGTAGGCTCATCGATGAAACGAAACTATAAGTCGCACAGCCTGAAGATTAGAACATTCTATTGATGGTCGGTATGACGATTAGATTCCTTGATGAATCATGCTTGTGGCATACTGCACATGATTAAACAGGCTCGGGGAGAAATTTTTCACTCTGTATTAGTCTATGGTACGCATTGAGTATGACTTCGGTGGTTGTCAAATATTTACTAGTTCGTCTATTGCTTCTTCTATCAAGCTGATAAGCCCTTTAGTATTAAACTTGCCTATTTATATTCTCGATTATTTATAATCATTATCCTAATAGGCTCTATTATATGAGTTGCTCTACTATTAATAGATTTTAACATCGATGGACTTTAGTATCTATTTTTTAGATTATATAACTTGTATTACTTATTCAAAAGAAATTTAATTAGATATGAAATTAGTATAGTGATAATATACAATTTAAGTAAAATCATTAAAGAGTTAAAATTCTAGATTATTAATAAAGATAATTACAGATATAGAAGTCTATCTATTATACTCTATTTTAAGCTTTCTATTAATATTAATCTGAGATAATTATTTAATCCATTAATTATATATATATTAGAATTTATTTAATTGACTTTTTATTAAAATTTTCATAAACAAGTACATAATAGAATTAAAATTAATCTAGTAGTTATGAGTTTTTCTAAGAGAATCTTTAGTATATTTAACAAGAGTTACTTATTATATAATTATCTAATAATCGAAATTGATTTTAGCTCGTTTGTTAAACAAGTATATTATGTTTAATGTTAAGTTTTATCATTTTATAATTTTCAATATTTTTTAAAATACAAGTTGATATATATTATACTAAAAGTAACGCTATAAATAGTCTTAAGCTAATTAAGTTTATATAGGTCTACTTCTTACATAACAATATATTGAAAACTTTTATAATAGAATTTTTAAAATTATATAGTTTTATGTTTTCAATTATTGAACAATTATTTAATTTCTTTCTAATATTAAAACTTTCTAAATTATTAATCTATTAGAATAGAAAAAGCTAAAATATATTATGTAGGGATTTTAGTAATCATTCAATCAATTTACTTCCAACTAATATATAACCTATTCTATGAACTAGAAGGGAACTTCTTATTGGATGGAAATTAAATATATCATATATATAGATCTGGATTTAGGTTAATAACTATTAGTTCTTACAGCGTTAGTCTTCAATTAGACCACTGTTAGCGAGAGAATATATATAAGATCTTATATCTTTTACCTCTATACAATCTCAACCAGAAAACCAACCAACAGTATCTCTAGTATTCAAAAAGAAACCCCCCCAAGTCCGACAGGAACATCGAACACTTTGGATTACTCCCCTAGACCATCATTCATAATTCAGAAAAAGCCACGAGCTACACGTGTAGCCTCTCAACTCCCTGGCCTATAAATCAGCCTTCAAGCACATCGAATTATTCATTCATGAAAGCTTGCATTTCTCCTTTGCGGCAATTCCTGGAGCTACATGCACAAGCTTGTGAACATCCCGTTCCAATCAATACAGACATCGAGATGCTCTGAATCGCGCTCCAAGATCTCGCAGGTATCGTTGTTCTACAAACAGAGTTGGATTCGTACTCTGATGATCTGTTTAAATGGGTAAGTAGGACATGTGGGACCTCTTTCCATATTATTGCAGCCTCTCTTCTACCGATAAGGAGAAACACGGGTTTGAATCTATATCCGAATGTTTCGTTATCATTTAGATATTAACACTCTGTAATGATAGATTCCGTACTTGACGAAGTGATCGCTTTATTAATGTAATAAAATCTTTAATACTTTAATATTATATGGAATAAATCGTTTCTATTTTATCAACCTAATTAAAAAAAATTAGTTGTATATAATAAAGCTCATTCTAATCAATAAAATCTTGATAAATTTTGAAAGTTTTATTGAAAACTTTGATTTGAAATAATAATTATTTGATACATAACAAGATTTCATTTATTTTTAAATTTTTAGTTTTTTTTTTCATTTAAAAGGAATCTATAAAAATTATATTAATCTTTATATTATGAATAAATAATAGAGTTGTTTTTTTACTGATATAATAGTATAAAGCTTTTAGTAATTAGTAATAGTATAGTATATATATTATAAAGATTTTCAGAATAAATTCAAATTCTTATTGTAATTTAGTTATATATATGTTAGAAATAAATAAAACATTTGTTTGTATAATATATCATATATTTATAATATAATGATAGAGTTTATAACTAAAGAATAATTCAAAAGTGATTTATTTCACTAGGAGCCTACGAGCCCTCGAACCCCTTACTTCTTGAAAACATATAATATAATAATTTTAATCATTATTAAAATTTAAAAAGAAATTTATTGAATACTTATAAGTAGTAAAGTCGGTTTATTATTAAATTGTTTTTATTTTTTATGATTTTTTTAATTTTCATTTTTCTTAAAACCTTGATATAATTATTTCATTTGAAATTATATTTCATTATATAATATTTGTGAGTTATTTTTTCACATTTATATTTTAATTTTTTCAATCGAAGTAATAATCATATTATTAAACTATGAAAGCTTTAAGCTTAAAAGATTAATTAATATAGATTCTATTATTTTCAATATATTTCCTTTTCATATTGATCATAAAAGCTTTAAAGTCCTTAAAAGAATTCAACTTTAATTTATTATATAAACCCTAATATCAAAGCTAATATTATTAAAATTAAGTTGATGAAATTTTTTTAGTTTATTCATATAATTATCTCTTTTTCTTTTTTTTAAAAAAAAAATTAATATTAATAAGATAATTTAAATAGATTTATTTAAAAAGATTAAGTTATAATACTATAATGTTATAATATTATAATTCTAAAAATATAATATATAAGAGTTTGTATTAATCATATTTTCAATCAATTATATTACTTGAATAGGATTTTAGGTTTAGCGAATCAACTTTTTATATATATATATCATACTTTGATTCTTACGAATAGTAAGATTATCAAGAAGGTAAACCTCTAATAAAAGAATTTATTCCCTTTGAAACTTTTATTTAATACTTTCTGTTTTTCTTTTTGACCTTTTTCTTTTTGATAATTTCTTTTTTGATTTTCTTCTCCTAGTTTCTATACATATACTCTTCCATTCATCTTTCCTATAACTCTAATATTTAAATATACTAAGATTTTTAAGGCCTTTTAGAGTATTTAATTTCTTTTTTTCTTTTATAAACATTCAATAATAAATGAATCTCAAAACAAATTGATTATATTCACTACTAACAAAGTAAGCACTTCGTTTTTAATAAAAGGAATAGTAATATTGTAATATATAATATAAAAATTTACATAGGGATTTATATTAAATTTCTTTTCGTTTAAAGTATTAACTTTGTCAAACTACTTCGGATGATAACCTTATGATATAGGAGTAGAAAGCAGACATGGTATTCGCTGATATGAAATCTTCTAAAATATATTGAGACCTGTCAAGAGTCTGCTAAGTTTTCAGAGTGTTCGACTTCCTCCGGAAAAATCAAATGTAGATAATCATAACCAACTTCTTTCTCGCTAAAATGTTTCATACACGGTTAACGACTGCGGGGAAAACATTTTTGCCGAGATTTGAATGCAGATAGTGTTTTATATAGTATCGACTTTCTTTATTGCGCTCAGTAATAATAATAATGTAGTTTAAATGTTTTAGGAAAATCAGAAATCGGCTCTTGGATACTGCGAGGCGCTTCGAGGAGAGGGAAGAATCACAAGGGGTTTACTTTTTATTTCTACACTCTCCTTCTCATTCCCCCCTCCCACCCCCAAGCACAAAAATTTAAAACCAATATAACAGTCATTCATTTTCTGTCTAATCATTGATTCTTGTACGGAATATAGTGACTTTGGCAGTAAATTGGAGCGGTGGATAATCTATAAGCCTATAATTCAAGCCTAAATATTCTGATGACCCATTTTCAAATCATTTCTCAATTTAAAAGCTATACCCAAGATGGACCTTGAAGGTTCCGAAATATTTATTCTATTCCGGAAGATATATCCAAATGAATATTCAGAGAGATCTACAGTGCGAGTCTCTACAAAGACGAGGAAACCTCAGGATGATTCGTGGGTGGAGGATTGAAGAATGTAAGTCGAATCAAAAGCAAAAAATGACAATACACGCCACACATTATATATAGATCACAAGTAGTTTGAAATGAGATTACTTCCTTTTTATCTATGATATCTATTGATCTAGGGTATCTCTTTAACAAATCTTCCCAGAAGCTTTTTTAAGTCTACCCCAGATTACAATCATCATTATCTTCTCCAATCTATCCATCCATTTATGTATCCGCCACAAAAGAAACACCACTATGATTTTGACCGAAAACTCCACCAGATCAACGCCTCAAGCTCAACCGGACAATCTGGCAGTAGAGAAGCCTGTCGATCAAAAAGAATACAAAGCTTTCTACAATCCCCGTTCCAATCCAATCATATACCATTTTTACACCCAACTCCCCTATCCTATATTACATACCGTACCACCATCCCGATCCA